TTATTTATGATTTATTAAAGCTTGCCTGAGGATTCAGAATGCAAAACTATCCACAAGCCATAGAGCCAGGCAGTGGTGCCACACACCTTCAATCCCAGGACTCAAGAGACAACAGATGAATCTCTGTTAGTTCAAGGCCACACTGAGCTATACAAAATTGATCCCATATAAAAGAGAAACAGCTCACAAAGGCGATCTCAGCACTTGGGATTCCACACTTTTAATCCCAGGATTTGAAAGGTATAAAAGGAAGACTAAAGGGCTCATGGGAGAGTTAGTCTCTAACCACGTTGAGGAGAGCACAACAGTCTGAGTGAATCTGAGGAGCAGTCTGAGGGTCGCCCCTTTGGTCTGAGCTGAGGCAGAAGTAAGAGCTAGTGACCAGCTGCTTTGCTTCTCTGATCTTCAGCTTGAAGCTTGAACCTCAATATCTGTCTCTGGGTTTCTTACTAATCATGTTACAAGAATTTAGTTTTATTATTAAAGGAAACCAAATACTATGCTGTGGGTGTTGAGGAAAGGTATTCCAGTTTACTATAGTGACCTGACATTGTGCAGAAATTTACAGTCATATTGATTGGTCTAGAAATTTTTCCCACTTGTGCAGATGAAATGCTGTATATTAACTATGTAAGGCTATGTGGGTTGATTACAGAAACTGAGAAAACATTTTCTAAATAACGAAAGAGAAAAACTAAATTGCTGTTGCTGCTTAAATGGTCTAAAGATGCCCTTTAAAAATATATGATAAAATAATAATATCTTAAAAGGACAAATCATATTGACCCCAGAGAGCCACATAAATATTTTATGTCAGGACATATTTTCTTATTTTATAGGAAAATTCTATTGAATTACCTTTCTTACATGCTTTTGTTACTCTACCCCAGTCTGTACATGTGCAGTCATTGTTGACTCTCTTGGTTTTGGACCTTGAATTTTAAGGAAAAGATCTGCTATCCACATGCATCTCCACAGCACTGATGTGATGTGCTTGTCATTCCTTAAAAAATCCTCTTTGCATGCATTTTGTCTGTAAGTATTATTACAGTTCTTCACTCTGTAAAGTTTAGAGTCCTTATACCATTCTCTACAAAATGAGTGTCCTGTAGGCCCAGGCCTTTATCTTATACAACCAAATGTTCATTTAGTTCTGTTCAGAAATCATTAAAAAAAACAAACAAACACACACACACACACCCACAAGCAAGAACTGGTGAATTTTTAACTGGTGTTTAGTAAATACTAGCAACTGTTGATATAAATATAATATATTATATTATATAATATAAAGTCTTTACATCTAAGAAAGTTAAAACCAAGTGTGAAAAACTTTGTAGCTAAATAACACTTCCAGAGATAGATCTATTGTATTGAAATTAGCATAATATTTGAATTGCAGAGAAACTTCAATTTAATGACTACAGCCCCCTTTCCATTACATGTTCCATGAAAGTCTGAAGATTTTTAAGCCAACGGATTTCTGCTTGGGATTCTGTTTAGAAAATGTTCCTTAGAGCCTAATGTTTGAATCACATGTCTTTGTAAAGTCTGAGTTTTAAAAATGTAACCCTTTGAACGTTAAATCTTTAACTTTGCTGACAAATGGAAATCTACTTGACAGCAATTGAGCTGCTTTCCTTGACCTCAGCATTTCAAAGGCTCCCGCTTGTCAGCCTCCTGTAGTGTTAGAAAGACAGTTGTGACGCACACCTTTGGCAGAGGCAGGCAGATCTCCGAGGCCAAGCTGGTCTGCGTGGCGAGTTCCACAACAGCCATCTAGGGCTGCATAGTTAAACCCTGTCTCAAACAAACCGACAAACAAGCAAACAACAACAAAGAAAAAAAACCTAATATAACACCTTAGTTTTGTCATGCTCATACATATCCACTACTGTTGATACGTTTTTATTAAGGTATTTCTAGTACATAGTAGAAATGACACATCTTAAAAACTGTCAATACATGGGGGTCATTTAAATATAATACTCATACGTTAAAATTTAAATTAATTGTTTAAACAATCAGCACCACCATTTAGCAAATATTTGCGTTTCTTCCCAAACTTTCCTGTTTCCCTTTGTCATCACTCGCTGTGGGTCCTGCACTCTTTCGTCATCACTCACTGTCGGTCCCACACTCTTTTGTCATCACTGGCTGTGGGTCCCGCCCTCTTTCGTCGTCACTCGCTGTGGGTCCCACCCTCTTTCGTCATCACTGGCTGTAGGTCCCGCCCTCTTTCGTCATCACTGGCTGTGGGTCCCGCCTTCTCTCCTCAGAGAACCACTTGATTTTGTTGCTGCGGATGGGCTTGTCTTTTCTCTAGTTTTCTATCAAGGGAACTAGCCAGCATATATTGTTTTGGGTCTGGTTTCTTTTGAGATCTGCCTATTGTTCACTTAGTTCATCTTTTTTTGTTGCAGAATAGTATTTCATTATGCAGATATGCATGGTTTGTTTTTGTTACTGAACGCTGCACATCTGTTTTGCTTCCAGGTTGGAAATATTACAAATAAAGGTTTTTTTTGTTTGCTTTGCTTCTTGCTGTTATGAATAAATCTGCTAGAACATGGACTAAGTTTAATTTTTTTTCCAAGACAGGTTTTCTCTGTGGCTTTGGAGGCTGTCCTGGAACTCTCTCAGTACACCGGGCTGGCCTCGAACTCACAGAAAGCCGGCTGCCTCTGTCTCCCGAGTGCTGGGATTAAAGGCGGAGTTTAAAAATTCTTTTTCTTACTTGCTATCAATCATGTCTGTAACTTTTGTGAGTGGGGTGTGGGGGCTGATCCTGGGCCTCATGCATGCTAGGAAAACACTTTACCACCAGACAGCCCCATGCCCTATTACGTTTTAATGCACCTTCTCCAGGAGCTTTTTGCAATTCGCAAAAACTGGAATTGTTTAATTTTAAACCCATTTCCCAAATTTTACCTGTTTTACTCAATGAAGGTAAGGATTATAGTAAAGATCTCACATTGAACTTTGACATCCTCAGAGCCTGGCCAGCATTATTTTACCTTTTGTGATGTCCCTATTTCAAAATTGAGAGATGTACGTGAACTGAAGCCTCTCCTTGATTGCCAGATATGTGTGCCATTTGAGTACTGCAGTTACGTATGTGTGCCATCTGAGTACTGCAGTTACGTATGTGTGCCATCTGAGTACTGCAGTTACGTATGTGTGCCATCTGAGTACTGTGATTACATATGTGTGCCATCTGAGTACTGTGATTACATATGTGTGCCATCTGAGTACTGTGATTACATATGTGTGCCATCTGAGTACTGCAGTTACATATGTGTGCCATCTGAGTACTGCAGTTACGTATGTGTGCCATCTGAGTACTGTGATTACATATGTGTGCCATCTGAGTACTGCAGTTACATATGTGTGTCATCTGAGTACTGCAGTTACATATGTGTGCCATCTGAGTACTGCAGTTACATATGTGTGCTGTTCTGTTTGCAAAAGTCTTCCTTTAAAAGTATAAAATCCTTAAATCTATTGCTATTTTCTTTTGTTGACTTTTGAAAATAAGTATATTTATGATTCTGTATTCATCCATTGTTACACATACATAAGGTAAAATAAGTTAAGTAAGACAAATACTGCCTCTGACATAATCACCGTATGTCTTAGCTCATTAAGAAGAGTATTTGGGGCACTCGGGAGGCAGAGGCAGGCGGATCTCTGTGAGTTCGAGGCCAGCCTGGTCTACAGAGCGAGTTCCAGGACAGCCTCCAAAGCCACAAAGAAACCCTGTCTCGAAAAACCAAAAAAAAAAAAAAAAAAAAAAAGAAGAGTATTTGGGCTCAGCAGTGATGGCGCGCGCCTTTAATCCCAGCCTGCAGAGGCAGGCGGATCTCGGTGAGTTCGAGGTCAGCCTGGTACAGAGTGAGTTCTAGGACAGCCAAAACTGTTACACAGAGACACCCTGTCTCAAAAAACAAATAAACAAACAACCACACAAAGAAGAGTATTTGGATTTTTAGATAATACATTACACTGGCTTTTCCTTACCTTTTAATCAGATATATGACCTTAGTACAAATTCAGGAGCAATTTTGTCTATTAATGTGTTTTCTAAAAGGGTTAACTTTAAATGACTTTTAATTAATTACTGAAAATTTACAGGATAAGAAAAGAAGATTCCTTTCCTGATGCAGTCTTCTATGTTCAAGGGCTAAATACTTTTAGATGTTCTGCCTCCTCTTCCTCCTCCTCCTTCTCTTCCTCCTCCTCCTTCTCTTCCTCCTCCTCCTCCTCCTCACTTCTCTGGGTATCATTGGCTATGCTGGAACTCTCTCTGTAGACCAGGCTGACCTCAAACTCAGAGAGATCCACTGCTGCTTCCTCCCGCGTGTTGGGGTAAAGGCTGCAGTGCCGTGCCCAGCTCTGCATCACCATGTCTTTATGGTCTCCGCTGCTGCTTCCTCCCGCGTGCCCAGCTCTGCATCACCATGTCTTTATGGTCTCCGCTGCTGCTTCCTCCCGCGTGCCCAGCTCTGCATCACCATGTCTTTATGGTCTCCGCTGCTGCTTCCTCCCGTGTGCCCAGCTCTGCATCACCATGTCTTTATGGTCTCCACTGCCTCTTGCTCCCACTTAGAGCCATTGGCTGAGCTGCTTCAGATTTCCTTTCTGTGACTGCTAATGTTTCTTCTGTTAAAGATGGAGTGAGTTGCCGGGCACTGGTGGCGCACGCCTTTAATCCCAGCACTCGGGAGGCAGAGGCAGGCAGATCTCTGTGAGTTCAAGGCCGGGCTGGTCCAACAGTCTCCAAAACAATACAGAGAAACCCTGTCTCATAAAACAAAAAACAAACAAACAAACAAACAAAAAAGATGGAGTGAGTCTTGATACTGTCTGAATAGAAATCATTTTGGCCAATTTTTTCTTGTGCTTTCTTAGTCAGTAGAAAGATTCATGTGTGCCAAACTAAAAGATAATATCATTGTGATTAAAGCTAAGTAAAAAGCTCATGCATTTGTTTGTTTCAGATCTCTATAAAAATGGACTCCAGAGGGCTAACTTTGTACCATTTATAGCTGTCCTGAAGGTAAGGGGAAATCATTTGTTTATCCATTGACTGAGACATGCAAATGGTCACTGAGTTGGTTGGTCTTCATCAAGCAGAATTCATCTTCATACTTAGACAGTGATAGTCAGACACAAGAGCAGAAAGATAGCTTTAAAAAACAGTATTCCCCCATGTGTACATGGGGAAAATTACAAATATAGTCCAAATTATTTCCTAGCTGAAATGTTTGATAGTTTACCTTTTATAAATCTTAATTTAAGGTTTGTTCATAAATATTATAGCAGAATGGTTAAACTTATACACTTGTTTCTGAAAAAAATGTTTGGTGTTCTTTGTTTCCTTCAGGCTAATGACCATTATTAACATGTTTTCCTAGCTATTAAAGTTGCTATTCTAGAACACCATTATTACAAAAATATTCTAATATATTTAAATGTGATTGCCATCAAGTTATCATGAAATTATGTCAAGTTGAGGCACATAAATAGTTTAAATATTTGTGTGTATCATTGCTGCATAGAGTTTAAAATAGTCTTCATTACAATATCATTAAGAATAAAATAGCCTCCTTTTTTACTGTTAATTTTAAGTAATTCCTACATGATTATTCACTAATTCTATAGCCTACCCATGTTTCTTGAAAACCTACTGTGTGCAAAGTACCACACTAGTTAGAGTAAGTAATAGAATTATGAAATAGCGATTTTTTTTTCTTTTTGGTTTTTCGAGACAGAGTTTCTTTGTGTATCAATCCTGACTGTCCTGGAACTTATTTTGTAGGCCAGGCTGGCCTTGAACTCACTGAGATTTGCCTGCCTCTGTCTCCCAAGTGTTGGGATTATAGTCGTGCACCACCACTGCTTGGCTGAAATGGGGGATTTTTATCTTCAAGTCTTTATGATCTAGTTGAGAATGTAAAATGTACACAAACAGTAAAGCAGAAAGCATATAGTCTCCAAATGAAGCACAATTATGTGCCAAATGTAATTTATCTAATTTTAGGTATTTAAATGTTCTCAGTCCATAGCAACATATCTGGAAAAGAATAAAGTTTTATTTAACAAAAACTAAACTTCAGAATTTCTTCCTATGAAGGCAGGAGTAGAAAACAGCTTCAAATACTCTTAAACACTCAGTCAGACAATCTCTTTGACGTAAATTTTGCTGGATTATTGTTGGTGCCGGCACTAAGAAGAATTCAAACATCTGTTTTCCTGACCAATTTGTGGTTCCTGAGGATTTTAATTTCTCTGAGATATTTATAGATTGGGGAAAGTGCTTTTAGAAGACCCAAACTGTCAGTAATGTCTCCCTTTGATATCCATGCTTCACACTTGGGGAGAGGTAGATTTCCTTTATACTCCAAATACGCTCTACAAAGACCCCGAATTACAAACAAGAAACAAACAAACAAACAAAAAATAGATGCCCAAAATAGTATCTTCATATGAAAGCTATAGAAAGAAGGCTCACAGAATTTTGTCTATATACCTTTTTTTGGCCAGTAATTTATCATAATTCAATACACAACGCCATCAGTAGACAACTAGACTGACTGAATTGAATTTCATTTCCATTCCCTTTTCTGCTGTTACTTTTTCTGAAGAGAGAACATCAGAAATGAATAATCCATAGTTTCAAATTGAGCATGAACCGACATTCTCAAGAGTCAAAGTAAAGTAAATCTTGCATTAGAAAATGTCTCAAATGTCCAGTTCAGTCAAAAGATGCCTTATTTGTAGCAGAACACAGTTCAATGTCAAGACACTCAAGCTGGATTTGCTGGAGCTCCTGTCTTTGTGCTGGTTAGTGTTTAGTCAACCTGACACTGACTAGAATCACTGGGCTGAGGGAAGTTCAAGTGAAACATGGCCTCCATCAGACTGGCTAGGTGACATGCCTGTGGGGCATTGTCTTAACTGCTAATTGATATAAGAGGGTCTAGCCCACTGTGGGCAGCACCATCCCTAGGCCTGGAAAGCAATCCAGTAAGCAGCATTACTCGGTCTGTGCTTCAGTTCTCCCCTGCAGGCCCCTGCCTTGAATTCCTGTCTTGGCTTCTCTTCACAAAAGCCAAATAAACCCTTTCCTCCCTTGAGATGCTTTTGAACACTGTTTTATCAAAGCAACAGAAAGCAAAGTAGGGCAGTGTGTTTGTATGAAGATTCTTTTGTGAGTAAAGGTGGCTTCATCCTTAATTGAATGATATCTTACCTACTTACAGATGATAGTAGTGGATTCTCATTTTGGCCCAGCCAAGAGAAATGTACAGCAGAAATCCACTTTAAAGCACATAGGGGGGCCGACAGTGTGGCTAACTGGATAAAGGCTCTGCTGGCAGGAGAGAACCAGCTCCCAGGAATTGTTCTCTGACCTCCACACACATACATGGCATGCGTGCACACATGCACACACTCGTGCGTGCACACACGCACACACAGACACACACTCACACACTAAAGTTTGTTTAGTCATATGGGAAGGAAGATTCTGGAATGGGAAGGAAGGAAAGACTTGATTAGTTACTCGGAATACATGATGTATGCACTGGCTCAGAGAACAAGACAAAAATAAAGTTTTTACTGTTTTACTAACATGGTGAAGGAGATGAATTGATTCTAAGATCAGAGGAAAAGTGAGCTGGTAGAAACAAAGGGAAAATTGTTGAGGTAAAAACTTTTATAGAGACAACACCAGATAAGGAAAGCAGGTAGCGTGTTGCCATTCACTCGATTGTGTGTGTGTGCCCATGTTTGTGAGTGTGTGTGAAAAGTTTTTGTTGTTTGTTCATGATGGACTGCAACTCATCCTCCTGCCTCAGATTCCTGTGTGTGTAGAAAAAAGGCCCAAAGATAAAAAAGAAAACAGGTTTTATTTAAAAAGTCCAGATTTGGTGTTCACTGTGTATTTGCCTAACTCCATCAAGAATAATATATTTTTCTGTTGTATTATTTAACTCCAGGATCAAGTAAAACTTGCTGGGTGTTGGTGGTGCACGTCTTTAATCCCAGCACTTGAGAGGTGGAGGCAGTTGGATCTCTGTGAGTTCCAGGCCAGCCTGGTCTACAGAGTGAGTGCCAGGATAGGCTCAAAAGCTACACAGAGAAACCCTGTCTTGAAAAACCAAAAAGCCAAAAAAACTAAAATAAACAAACAAAAACAAAAAAAGGATCAAGTAAAACTATCATCAATAAGAAAAGAAATTAGTGGGGAAAATCCTCAAGTTGATCAGAGATTTTCACGTTTCAAATAGATGCATAATAATGTAGAATATGGTTGTTCTTATAGTGTTTTAATAAATCATAATAAAGTAAAATACGATAGTTCTTACAGTGTTACATTAAAAGGTGTCAGGGCTGGAGAGATGACTTGGTTAGGAGCTCTGCCTGCTCTTCAGGGACCCAGGCTTGATTCCCAGCATCACATGGCTTCTCACACCCATCTGGGACTGCAGTTCCAGAGAATACAGTGTCTTCTGAGGACACAGATGATACAGACACACATCCAGGCAAAATGTGGCTCCTATTCTTCTTAATAGTAAAATCTCAGAGACAGACATTGGGGTTAATGCTGAAGATCAGAGAAGCAAAGCGGACAGCCGCTAGAGAGTTCTCACCTCTACCAATGCTCAGACCGACAGGGCGATCTCCTCAGACTGCATCTCCAGACTGCACTGAGTTCCTGTCTCCTCCTGCCTATATTCCTCTCTAGTACTGGGACTAAAGTCATGGGATCCCAAGTGCTGAGATCACCTTTGTGTGAGCTCTGTTTCTCTTTTAGACAGATTCAATCTCTTGTAGCCTAGAGTGGTTGGGATTAAAGGTGCTTGCCACCACTGCCTGGGCTCTTTGGCTAACTCATGTGGCTAGCTTTACAGTCTGCTCTTCAGGTCAACTTTATTTGTTAGATCATAAAATATCACCACAGCAAAACTTCCATACTCATAAAATTAAATAATCAAAAAATATATGGTATCTTGTCAGCTGGGTCATTGCACACACCTAGAGCTCCCAGACATGCCAGATGTGCAGGCATCCTCCTGTAATGCTGACACTCAGGAGCTGAGGAAGTGGGACTGCGTATTCCAAGGCTAGCCTGGGCTACATAGTAAGACTCTGCTCCAAATGGGCCAGTGGAAAAATAAATAAATCCCTACTACCTTTAAGAGCCACTTAAAAACTCCACAGATACATACTTTTAACATATGATAATGTAGGAATTGCAGCCTTCATGAAATTTCTTGAGCAAATTACTTTTAAGATTTCATACCACCAGTCAAAATGAATAACTTTTAAATAGAGATATTACAGTAAAATAATTGATGGTGGTTGAATTGAGTCTGATTAAACATTTCAGGAATAACATTTTTATCATGTCATGTGAGCACTTGTGTAATTGAATTAAGTACGGGGTGCTGACGTACATGGCGAAGAGGCCTTGGCCTGAATGAGGAGCTGGAGCAGAGAAAGTGGCACATACAGGAACTCCCCAAAGAGCACACGATACTTCACTGAGACCTAAAGTCAGAAGTTACCAGGAAAAGCAGAAGGGCATCATAGAGGGAGGACGTTTTGAAAGGTTGAAACCATGACGACTGTAAATTTAAAATGTGATTAATAATTAGTTAATTAATATTTTATGAACTAGTTATTACTATTCTTCTGTTTACTCTAGGCTTTGAGGATTTGTCCAAGACTAAGATTCCCTCTCCTTGCCTCCAAATAAAAGCAAGACTTATTTGGTGTTGCATGCAAACAAGAAGGACCATGTATCGCTTAGTGCTTGCTTGCTTGCTTGCTTGCTTGCTTGCTTGATTTATTTATTTATTTATTTATTTATTTATTTATTTATTTATTTTTGAGACACTCCTGGCTGTCCTGGAACTCACTTTGTAGACCAGGCTGGCCTCAGACTCGATGAAATCCACTCCCAAGTTCTGGGATTAAAGATACGGTGTGTTATTTATCTGTTGTGGTATTTATAAAAACCAGGTAATTCTAAAGTATGTGTAACAATAA